CCACGCTAAACTTTCTCACTCATCCCTTGCCTGTAGCGAACATTAGTCCTCACCAATTATCCCCTGATTCAATACCTGCAGAATTGCTAATACAATGGAAGTCACCGATAGTTCTGCTAGGAAGTGATGTTTATTATGATATAGAGCCAACTCCCGTTGCTAAGCTTCCTAACGGCTACAGATTAGTGCACACGCTACTCGGCCCTTTAATTGCGGGAAAATCAGAAATAAATTCCCCTAACCGATTAAGCAACACAATTTACAGAACTCACTCATACTTTACCCAAATTTGCGAAGAACTCACAGACAAAATTTGCGACCGTCAAATAAACGACCTATTCTCGTTAGAAAACATAGGCATAACAACCCCAAATCCCGCTACAGAAAATAATGACGATACAGTACACAAAGCTTTTCTAAAAACAATAAAAATGGTAAACAAGCGATACCAGGTGGCTTTACCTTTTAAAAGCGACACCAAACAAATTTCGCTTCCTTCGAATTTCGGTTTAGCTTGGGGACGCCTCCGATCGACTCTTAATTCACTTAACAAAAACCCAGAAAATTTGGCCAAATACAATGCAATTATTAAGGAACAGCTGGATTTAGGAATAATTGAGCCTGTAAAAAATATTAAAGAATTTTCGCCTCCCTTGCATTACCTCCCCCATCAACCTGTAATTCGGCTAGATAAAAATAAAATACGCATTGTTTATGACGGCTCTGCACGCGAGTCAAAAACCTCTCCCTCTTTAAATGACACGCTCTACCCTGGCCCTCTTTTGATGAATGAATTAATCGGAGTCCTACTGCGCTTTAGATTGCCAAAAAATGTGGTTGTCTGCGACATTTCCAAAGCTTTCCTGCAAATAGAAGTCTCCCCAACTCATCGTGACGCAACCCGATTTCTTTGGGTTTTGGACATAAACAAGCCATTCTCTTCCCAAAATATACAGTGCTATCGCTTTTGCCGTGTTTCTTTTGGTTTAACCTGCAGTCCCTACCTCCTAGCGGCAACAATAACCCATCACCTCCACCAAAATCCATCCGCACTCTCGAAAGAAATAGCCCAAAACATATATGTCGACAATATACTATTCTCTGCAAAAGAAACAAGCCAAGCACAGGAAAAATGTTTAAAAGCGATTGAAATATTCGATGCGGCTTCTATGCCCCTGGGAGAATTTTCCAGCAATGAAAGTAACGCCATTAACCATTTACCCGACTCTTACAGATTGACAGGCTCCAAACAAAAATTCCTAGGCATACCATGGGAAACAGACCTAGATGAGATCTCTCTGGCCTTAAATCCCCTTCCTGAGCAACCACTAACAAAAAGAAAAGTCCTTGCATTCTTTGCCTCACATTTTGACCCTCTTGGACTGATCGGACCCTTATTGTTACCGACAAAAATATTCATGCAATCACTTTGGAATATTACTCCCTCGCTCGGATGGGACACTGAATTACCTCCCGAAGCTGTAAAAGAATGGACCAAACTAAACAAAATTTGGAATGCAACCTCTATTAAAATTCCCCGTAGGAATTTTTCTTTTGATCCGACTAATATAACCTTCCAATTACACGCTTTCTCAGACGCTTCGCAGATTGCCTTCGCTACAGCAATTTACTTAAGAACCACAAATCTAACAAAAAATGAGGTAGAAACCTCGCTACTTTTTTCAAAAATTAAGGTAAAACCAAAGGCTAAAGCTAAAAATTCCCCATACACTATTCCCCGACTAGAATTGTTGGGAACATTAATTGCAACTCGTGCCCTTAATTTTGTCCAAAAACACCTCTCCCCCTCTATTAAACTTGAAAAGAAGTATTTTCTGTGGACTGACTCTTCAACGGTAATTAACTGGCTAAATAATACTGAAACAATCAACGACATTTTTGTCAACAACCGAATTGCTGAAATACGATCCACTAATAATTTGATTGTCCAACATGTAATTGGAAAGGAAAACCCCGCGGACTTAGCGACAAGGGGCGAAATGGACATCAATGCTTTTCAAAACAACAGTTTGTGGTGGTACGGCCCAAGCTGGTTGACTTCTTCTGACTGGCCAGAACATCCGCAAGTTAAAAAATTTTCATCTGAAATATTTAAAAATAAAATTGAAAAATTGCCCCCGACAGCCCCTCTAGAGATTTATTCATTTTCCAACGCAATTACTATAGAAGAACCTGTTTTCCCAATTTTTCGGTTCTCTCGCCTCCCACACCTATTGCGAATTACAACATATGCCTTGCGATTTATTGCCAAGATAAAAAATACTCCGCTAACCCTTTATGCAAATAGCGATATTTTTCGATCCTCCTCCCGAACAATCAGCCCAAAAGAAATAAACGCTTCGCTTTCCATTCTCCTAAAACTAGAGCAAGAGCGAATGCCACCTGACGACAGTGCCCACTCATCTCTCGGTATATTTAAAGGCAATGACCTATTATTGCGATGCAAAGGAAGGATGGCCAATAGTTGCTTACCTAACCCAACCAAATTCCCCATCTACTTGCCACCACATTCTGATTTGACTAAGCTCATTGTTTGCGAAACTCACCTACTAGGGCAACATACTAGTCCCTTACAGACGCTGGCACTCATCCGAAGAAATTACTGGATTCCAAGCGGGCGCCGCACAGTAACCCACATTTTACACAATAATTGCTTTACCTGCCGCCGATATACAGCCAAACCCTTCGATTTACCTAATTTTCCCCCACTCCCCGCTGAACGAGTAAATCCTGCTCCTCCCTTTACCTTCGTCGGACTAGACTTTTGTGGGCCGATATACGTTCATACCTGCTCAGAATTCTCAGCTAAAAGCGCCGATGCTAGGCGAAATAAAAAGAAAAGCGAACAGACAAAAATTTGGATAGCGGTCTTTGTTTGCCTTGTCACCCGTGCAATTGTTCTAGACATAGACCCCGACCTAACAACTCAGTCATTTTTTGAAAGTCTAAGGCGATTTTTAGCAAATTACGATCCGAAAACAATATTTTGCGATAACGCCCCGACTTTTAATCATACAAAAAAGGTATTAAATCTGCACGCAGCTAAATCTGACCCTAAATTTAGCGCAATAAAATTTAAATTTCGATGTCCAATGGCAGCTTGGAAAGGTGGTTTTTATGAAAGAATTATGGCAATAATCAAGCATCATCTAAAACGAACCCTTTCTAAAGGCATTTATCCGAAAATTAATTCATTAAACTCAGTGCGCACATGCTTAACAGAAATAACCACAATAATAAATAGCAGGCCAATTACTTTCGATTCTTCAAACCCAGCAGATCCTCGGCCGCTTTGTCCAATCAATTTCCTGCAGCCATTAAGAGAAATTAAACCTTTACCATTTCCAAATACCGACGCACTGGCTGATCCTACTTACAATCCCTTGCCCCCCCCAGTGACCCATCACACTTGCTTAATTTGTGGTCAAAGCTTAGCACTGCATCAAAATTTTTCTGGAAATATTGGAAAGAAGACTACCTTACATCGTTACGTGAAAGATACCAGAAAATTACCCCAAAAAATCAAAAAACCCCACTAGTTGGGGATCTGGTTCTTATCTCTGAAGATTTCATTCCACAATCAAGATGGGTAACCGGCATAATTTTGCAAATTTCAAATAATACACTCGGCCAACCAGACAAGGCCAAAGTACGAATCATTTCCCCATCGGATAAGGGTCGAGTGTTCGAAAGATCAATCGGCCATCTTTGCCCCCTCGAAACACAAAAGGAAAGTGAAGAAAGAATGTGTAATACAGCAGCTATTTACAAAGGAGAGCAAAAAACCCAGCACCTTTGTATAAAGCAGATAAGCTAAAAATAAACTTTAAATAAAATAAATTGTAAATATTTCCCCTTTTTGTAAATAGGTTAAAATTCCCACCTGCCTACTAAACTATAAACAACTTCACTATAAATTAAACTAATCATTCTTCATTTTTAGCTTTTTGCTGCTTCATTTTAATTTAAACTATAAACTTTCTTCAAATTCATTGCAATGGGATCTATTATTTCCCTAGAGATTTTTTCTGCTGATTTCCTCATAACTCTCAACACACAAAAATCTAATGACCACTTATACATAATAATAGGCCTATTTATTTCTGCTTTAATTTGCTCGAGCCTCCTTATAATTTACAAAATTAAACAAAATTGCAAAAAACGCCAACGAAATGTTTGGATTCCTCCACCCACCTTTATGGCCATAATTTTAATTTTTTTAATTTGTTCCCCAATAATAGAAGCTGGCAATCCCAAACGCAATTCTAAATTGCGCAAAACTGTAAAATGGACCGGGAAAGCTTCTGCCAGCCTTTTAGCCTCCTCTGCTGCTTATTTGGGTCTTGACTACCTCGCTGCATACTTACTCGACAACCCAGATCTAAGCTCACTAATCCTTGCAGCAATCACCCTCCTTATAATAACCCTTCTTGCAGCAATAACCCTTTTTGTTTATAAAACATTTACATCACGCAATCGCTCTGAACCGCCCCTAAACAAAATTAAAAAGTTGAATGAAAGCGAACTAAAAATTTTAAGGCAATTAGCCTCTCAAGTTAACAATACGCCCCAATAATTTAAATAAATTTAAAATTTTTTAATTTAATTTTTTTAACAGCCTTATGCCCAAGGATAAAAAATCTTCCCTCGAAATTATCTTCCAACACCTTAAATTACAGCAACAACCAAAACCGAAGACAACAACAGCCAAAATTGAAATGGAACGACCAAAAACACCCCCTTCACCTGCTCTTTCCATTGAAACAACCATTAGTGAGGCACAAAGCCCAGAACCCCTCCCAGAACCTAAATCCATTATAATTGCTTCTACTGAACCCAGCAAACCCAACAATGACTGTATTGAACCAAACAACAAACGACCAAGAATTTACCCCCCATCAAATACAACAACTCCACCAGCCACTAATACAAATGAAAAAACAACGGCTCCAAATAATGTTTACACAAAAAAGCACCTACTCAATAATTTACCGGTAGCAAAAGCCGTCCTTGTCCATAGAGGTAATGAGACATTTTCCACAAAAAATCCTCTATTTTTTAATTTATCCGGCCGCTCTTATGGTATTCAAAATGGTGGTTTTGGTTCTCCAATTCGAAATTTGGCTGCTGTTGCTTCCACCACCCTTAATGTCCATCCGCATTCCTGGTCCACCAACAATACAACGCCTCCCTCACCCTTACTTTAACAACAAACATCCACCAACAATACAACGCCTCCCTCACCCTTACTTTAACAACAAACATTCACCAACATCATACTATTGGAATAAAAGAAATTGAACTTTCCGTTGCTGGGAATGTCGTTTTACGAATGTCTAAAATTAAAGAATTCCCTTTTTCTTATTTAAAATTTAAAACCCCTTTTTTCATTAAACAAAAACATATTTGTTTTTATCAAAACACCTGCATTTTACTTAAATTAAAATGTAATTTTTTTTAACCGCTTTTGTTTGATTGGTCGTTCTTTGTGCCTTTTTTATTTTGTTGTCCAACCCTTTTTTTATATCTGCTCTATCCTTTCTGTTTTTTATTCATTCAAAAAAAAAATATTCTAAAATTTGCTTTCAAAAAATATCCTACAATTTTGCTCTGGACTTTACTTAATTTTTTTGCTTTTCAACTTTTTTTGCTAAAACTGAATTTTTACTGCTTTGGATTAAATACATTTTGTTGGAAAATTTTAATTGCTTTAAATAAAATTTCAATTTGTTTTGCTTGAAAAAATTGTGTGAGTTTTTACTAGGCCTTCCCTTTTTTTTGAGTTCACCCAGAACTAAATTTTTTAATATTCGCGGATTTACTTTGCCCTTTTTCCGCGACATTTCCCAGTACCGAAAAATCGGTACTACCGCGGTACTGGAAACCTCTTCGGTTCCGTACCGGTACCGGTAGTACCGAAAAGTACAGAAACCGAAAAGTACCGAAAATTCCAAAATTTTAGCCGTACCGTACCGGTACTACCGAAAAGTACCGATTCGGTACTACCGAAAAGTACCGATTCGGTACTTTCGGTAGTACCGCGGTAGTACCGCGGTACTACCGAAAGTGTGCCGAACACTAAACACGAGGATACGATGAAAAGAAAGCTTTTATCTAACTAACTTTGTTTAACAGAATGCATAATTCCTGATTCCACAATGTTTCGTTTATATGTAATAATTTATGGAATTTGTTTATTTTTTGGTGGAATTATTTCTTATTTTCAATTTAATATTTTAATGATATTAAATACACCTTTTGACAAGTAACAAAATAAATTATAATCATATCTTGTTTTAATCTTTTCAGTTTGCTTTACTGTAATTCTGGATTATATTCTGATTTATTAAATAATTATTACAGCAAAATAATTATTTCATTTTCTCTTTTCAATTATTTTATAATATTTTGTAAAATTATTTGGTCTTCCTTTGGGAAAAAATATTTTAAGCCAAAAAATCAAATTTCACCGAATAATGATCGTCCAGAAAAAGGTAATTAATTTTTAAGCGAAGAGGTCTAAGGAGAACTAAGAAGAGCTTGCAGTCTCAATTATAGAAGAAATAGTTGATATAATTATGGTGGTAGTCTCGCCCAGGGTCCGTAGAATAAATTCGGGGTTGGATACCCCGGTTAAATAACCCGGTTAAACAATCCAGGGGCAAGTAACCCTTAGCTACGGGTTAAAATCGGTAGAATAAATTCAACCCGAGTTAAGGGTTATTTAACAGGGAGCTAAAGGTTATTTAACTAGTTGAGTTACTGGGTTATTTGACCCGTTATATTTTATTGCCAAACCCATTTCGCAATATTAGTTTACGCAATAATTATTATTATTAAAAATAGATATAGTCAAATGAAAAAATTTAGCTCTCTGTTAAATAACCCTTAACTCGGGGTTGAATTTATTCTACCGATTTTAACCCGTAGCTAAGGGTTATTTGCCCCAGGTTGTTTAACCGGATTATTTAACCGGGTTATCCAACCCCGAATTTATTCTACGGACCCAGATGTTATTGAGGTATAAAATCAGAATCGAATCTGAGGTTGAGTAATATTTTATTCTTACATTATGTACTTATTTTAACGATAAATTCAAGATAATTCCTTTAAAATTTAAATATTTAAATTCAATTTTCAAGATATAAAAGCAATTGTGAAAAATTCTTTCCGGATTCTTCGTTCTGTTTTGATTATTTCTTTAATTCTTATTTTTGGATGGTTAATTTCTTCTATTGAGAGAAATAATATTATAGTTTTAATAAATATAATTATAATATTTTTGACAACTTTATTTATTCCAATTTCTAATCAACAATTTTCTATAATTACTGGCAATCTTGTAAAGTCGACAAGTTCTATTATACTTTGTATTTACATAATTACAGCTGGAATTAATGCCATAATTTTAATCATTTGCAAGTAAGAATGCCCAATTTCATAATTAAGATTCCCCTTCTACAATTTTATTTTTTTGTAATTATGACTGCAGCATCCTTGCTTTCTTCCTAAAAACCTTGATTTTATATAAATAATTAATTTTAATTTTTCTAAAATTTTTTTAATTTATAGCTCAGAATATAGAAAAGCATATAAATCAGTATTTGGCAAATTAATTCCAAAGAACAAAGTATCACCAAACCAGCCATTGTTTATTAAAAGTGATAAGGGGAACAATAAGAATAATAATAATTTAAATAATAAACAAACTTGAATTTTTGTAAATATTTAGTTAAGATATTTTGATTTTATACGTTTAATTATCTATATTTAATAAAGTTTCACCGGAAGTTCTAGTTCCGGTTCTGGTCAAAATTTCGTTTCCGGTGAAACACTAAGATTTAATACTCTTTATTCATTCTTTATTTTCTATATCATAAAAATTCCCCGATTTTATGTGAGTATGCTATAATTTGTGTTTTGTTCCGTATATTAAAAATTTTGTGCAGAAAAAGAGGGGTCCTAATGTTACCTTGGACATTCGATGGTGATTTAGCGGGAATGGGATCCCGCTTAGTCCCGGGCGGATTCCTATGACATAAAACTGTAAAATAAACAAATATTATTTTATTATTCCAACCTATACCATCTACATATACACTCTGCGTCAAAAAGATTCGGACACCTTATTTTTTGGGTATATTTTCGATTATCTCTGAACAATTATAGAGAATACTATAAAAATATATAAATGATGACCAAAGATATTTGTATAAACAAAAAATTTAAAAAAATTTTGAAATATAAATTTTTTATGGAGTAATTTCTAAAAAACATGTGCGTCAAAAAGATTCGGACACTTAAAAAATTTTTTTTAATGTTCCATAAGGGATCGAGAAATTCCACAAAAATTTATATAAGCATCTCCATCAAAATCGAGTTGAAATGCAAAAAGAACGAAGTCCATAGATGCCTTCTTCATTGAGATCTCAAACCCTCAAAATCAACGGAAAACGTGGTTACAGTACTTCATAAAATATTTTAACCCCCTTAGGGGTGGTATAAAAATTTATTTCGGGACCACCAGAAAGCCCACAAAATTTGCTACAAAAAACATTTGGTCCCATCAATGAGAAAAATCTTACCATAGAGGCCCCATCGGTTAAAGGAGCTTTCACTCAAATTACCCTATAAATTGTCATTTTTTCTAACTTTTAAATCTGACCGATGGGGTGTTAGGTATGTGTTGGGTCTAGTATAAAAGGAGTCGTTAGCGATCAGTCTGGGTCGACACCTGGGTCGACCGGCACCGTCTGTCCTTATTCATTCTTGCCTTTTGTCACCTTCATTATTGTTGTATTTACCATTCGGATAAATGTCATATTCTATTCCTGTGTTATTCTGTTTGTCACTAGGTAAGACCGCTACCCTAGGACATAACAGTGGCGCGGTCGCAGTCGTGAATCTTTTGATTCACAATTCGGACAATTATTCGGACAAGTATTCAAATTCTGGGGAAGTATTCGGATTATTCAGAGAGTCGCAGAGCACATCAGATTCTTATTCAGAGGAGACGGTGTCATTTGAAGTGTGGCAGGCATTCAAGCCGATCGAATTCATCTATTCGACAAGGCCTAGCAAACCTTAGTCAATTCTAGTCGAGTTAGATAGAACACAGTTGGTGTTAAAAATTTTAGATTTTATTCGGACCAATTCGAGATTTGAAAAAGATAGTTAATTATTCGGTCCAGAAGTTAGTATTTTGTTGAAAAGATTATTCGATGAATTCGAGCTTGACCATCAGGAGCAGAGTGAAGGAGCAAGTTGTATTCAGTATTTTGATTATATGAGGAACCGCAGTCATGGGCAAGATGTAAGTCCCGATTATTGTTTATTCAAGGCCGCAATGAGTAAGTCGGTCAAGTGGACGTAAGACGGTCAAGTATTATTCAAGTTTGAATCAATTATTAGTCGCTCCAGAGAAGTTAGTAAATAAAATTTTATTATTCGCTCCATTGATGAATTCCTATGGCATTATTCAGTTTTATTGAGAAAGTATTCAGTTATTCAGAAGATATTATTGAGATTATTAGAGAGTTTAAAAGTTAGTCAAAATGCCATTTAGTTATTCGCCCAAGTATTAGAAAGTAGGGCAGTATTATTCAGGGAATTAGGGTGAATCCCTTACCCAGCCGGGTTTATTCAGATTATTCGATGTGCTTCTGCTTTGGTTTGATGTTTAGAAGATGTTGATGAGAGGTTTTATGGGACATTTGTGATAATTGTGATACATATTTTTGTTTGTTGTAAATTTTTTGTTTTGTTTTCCCCCAAATATTTGTAAATTTTGTCCCATTTGTATTCAAGGCGGTGTCATTCGGTTATTCGATTCGAGAAGATTATTCAATTCGGACCCAACCTAACAATTCTATTCAGTAGCAAATTATTCAAGTTAGTCCCTAACTTTTTTAAAGGAGGGAGATGTTAGGTATGTGTTGGGTCTAGTATAAAAGGAGTCGTTAGCGATCAGTCTGGGTCGACACCTGGGTCGACCGGCACCGTCTGTCCTTATTCATTCTTGCCTTTTGTCACCTTCATTATTGTTGTATTTACCATTCGGATAAATGTCATATTCTATTCTTGTGTTATTCTGTTTGTCACTAGGTAAGACCGCTACCCTAGGACATAACATGGGGTCTCCACGGTAAAATTTTTCTACAAGATGGGACCAAGTGTTTTTTGTAGCAAATTTTGTGGGCTTTCTGGTGGGCCTGAAAAAAATTTTTTATACAACCTCTAAGGGGGTCAAAATATTTTTTGAAGTACTGTACCCCCATTTCCCGTTGATTTTGTGGTTTTCAGATCTCAATGAAAAAAGCATTTTCAGACTTCGTTCTTTTTGTATTCCTACTCGATATCGATGGAAATGTTTATAAAAATTTTTGTGGAATTTCTCGATCCCTTATGGAACGTTTAAAAAAATTTTAAAAAAGTGTCCGAATCTTTTTGACGCAGTTGATTTTCAAAAATTATTTCATAAAAAATTTATACTTGAAAATTTTTTTAAATTTTTTGTTTATACATATATCTTGGGTCCTTATTTATATTTTTCTTAAAGTATTTATTATAATTGTTTAGATAATCGAGAAATATACCCAAAAAACTAGGTGTCCGAATCTTTTTGACGCGGAGTGTATTTCATTTTAAAATTTATTTATTCTTTCCCATAGTTTTTGGTAAGGTTTTTTATTCAATTTAACTATATAATTTTACCATTTTGTCCAAGTTAATCTATTTTTAAATTAAATTTTTTATTATTAAACCTGTTTTTTGGCCATTAAAGAGAATAAATAAATTTTATTAAAATTTTGTTTTGTCTAGATCAGTTTTAATCTAGAAATAAAAATTTTCCTATTTAGTGAAAAAAAAATTTTGATAAAAGTTTTTTTGGTAAGAGTATTAGGATAATTTTATTCCAATCGAGATAAATCTTATTTTTTATATTATTATCTATTGAGATATATTTTATTTCAATCGTAAGGGCTCGACGAGCTGAGTAAAATGTTACAAAAATTTTATTGGGACGACACTATGAGCCGAGATACAGGGCTCAAAATGGTCAAAACGATAGGGTGCCAAGCTATTCCTTGGGTAAAAAATTCCAATATGCGAATTATAGCTCATTCGAAAGCGCTCATCGAGCGAAGTCGAAAAACAATGGAATCACTTTAATTGAAGTTTTGACAAAGTTACGATACAAAAAACAATCAACGTAAACATTTGGGTTTCGGCGAAACGCTTATTGGTCCTAATTCTGATATTTTGTCAACTCCATAATCTCTATTTTTGAGCTATCTAAATGAGAATATTATCTAATTCGTTATCTTAAATTCTACATAATTCCCCTCCTCACAATTCAACTTCATTTCTCTTTACAATTCTTTCCTTCCATTTTTTATTAGTAAATATCCCCCTCTTATAACCATGGAGAGCCGCCATTAAAATTTACTTCTTTCCTCTTTTAACGAGCCCTGTTGGCTTGCTGCCTCCATGAGTATGTTTATAGTTTTATTTAGTGCGCGAATCAATGGTTGAGTGCTTGCGCGGCTGTGTGGTTGTTGGGGGGATATATTTTTATTTATTTTATTTTGGTTGTTTTAGTGTAGAGTTTGAAGAAGTATGTATATTTTTAATTCATCTAGGGTATTTCTTTTCGTTTTTTGTTGTTGCGAAGCAAAAATTGTGTTGAGATATTGCACAATTTTTAAAGAAGAAATCCCTTTTGCCTTTGATTTCATGACTAAGTCGCAGCCTTGCTTAGTTCCAAATTTGAAAATCATTCCTAAGTAGTAGAAAATTCTGATTTAAGCATGAAGGACCAAAAAACGCGATCAGACCCAATAGAAGTTTTGTGCTGTTACATATAAAGGAATTAAAGGGCTGCGCAGAAATACTCGAACTCGTGAGTGGATTTTTCTGTCTTATTATGCCGAAAATTTTGATTCACAATTTTCGTCCCTTTTTTCTTTCGATTATATTTTTCAGAAATTTTTGAAAAATTTCTTTTTTCGTTTTCAAAATTTCTATATTTCTTTCGACACGGCATTTATGGAGATTAAGAAAATCCCCAAGAATGATTTTTTCTTTTTAAAATGCTGAGGACTAATCCTTGTTTTCCACATGGTATCAGTCGAATCTGGATATAACGAACTCTAAGGTACCAAATGAAAGGTTCATTATTTCGAGTGGATCGTTACGTCTCTGGATCCGATGGGTGGTTCCTATATGTTCGAATAGGGACTACCCTTCGGAGTTGATAGCCGCAAATGTCTGCGCCGAAAATTTCTTAGCCGCAAGTGTCGGGACCGCAAGTGTCAAAATAGGGGCGAGCCGCAAGTGTCTGGGCCGCAAATGTCTGAGCCGCAAGTGTATGCGCCGCAAAAGTCGCATCACCATTGGGACTCCCCCTACATATGTTCGATTATTCGCATTTTCCGCTCAATTATTTTACTTAAAAATTACGAGTGAATAGATAGGTATATAAAAATTTTAAGTAAATAATTCTTTTATTCATCTGCGCATTTTAATTTCTCTCAACACATTTCCTGTCCTTTTATTTGTGTCACGAAAAATAAAAGAAATTTTTACTCTAAATAATATTAAATTTTCTCTCTTTTTGATATTTTATTTTTGAGAAAATATAAGTACGTAAATATTCGTATAACATTTCCTGTGTCAGTTGTTTACATTTTATGTTATTAAATGATTTGTTGTTTTGATCGGATTTTTGTTGATGAATGGACAAATTTTTTTTATTTTTTAATATGTACTACATATTATTTTTAAATATTTTTACGAATTCTAAATTCTTGTTTTATAAATTGATAATTTTTGTAGAATTTCAGAAAATCAAAGTTAGGTGTCTTCTTGGCCTTCTAAAAATCCAAAAAATTTAATTTATGTTAACTTATGTGGCGCGACATTTGGGGATCAGACTTTTGGGGACCCGACACGTAGGCACCCGACTATTGGGGACATGACACACCCCAAGTGTCGTGTAGACGTTAACTTAAGTGCCTAAAATTCGAAATTTTCCATTACTGTTGGATACGAGAAGATTCGGACGAGATCGAGGTTGCCAAAATCAATCTCGCCGATAATCAAAATGATTATAATCTCTAGTTGAGTTCGATTTATAATTCAGTTTATTTCAACCATTCCTCAAACTTAAATGAATTTGATAATTTTGAAAATTTCAGTTAAGTTGACAATTTTGAGAAAAAACGGATATATCCACATATACCCACGAATGGATATGTCTAAAAAGTTACTCGGATATAAACAGATACGGATATTGCCCCCGCGGATATATCTGGATATGGGTAGCTAAATCCGTGTCCATGTCCTAGTCTGCTAAAAATTATCAATATTTTTTTATTTTATGCTTTTCTAAAATTTTTATTTATTTTTTATTAAATTAAACAAATTTTTCTTCACCATTCGATTAACTCAACGTGTGTTTCTCACTTACTCTTCCATTATTCCCCCCTTCCACATTCCCCCCCTTCCCCTCCACCAAAAAGCACATCTCCATTATTCACCGCGTTCTATCCCGTTTTTTCTAGTAATTTACTATTTGTTTCAGCCGCGGTAAAAAAATAGAAAAAAATTCCCCCCTTCATGTAAAAAACCCAATTTAATTTTTGTTAGATGGCTGGCCATAAAAACCATCTCTCTCCTCTCTTTATTCACTTTTCTAATTCCGCATCCAAATCCACTTCCCTCACGTAGCTCATTAAAATTCCTCTTTTATCTACCTAAAAAAGGTTTTATGGTATTACATTGTTAACAGAAAAATGGCTGAGTTTAGTTTTTATTTTTAGTGGGATAAGAACTTGTACACTAACCTGTTCTTTTTAATATTTCTGCATTGTATGTATTACAATAGATATCCGCACCCCTATTTTTCTTAAATCCGTATGCCGTAAATTCTCCAAAGCATCATCTAGCTCATTTTACCATTGACAAATTTTCCTTCACCATTTGATTAACTCAACGTGTGTTTCTCACGTTGAGTTCCATTCAGCGCTTTTCCGGTTTCAAACAGATCTCTGGCGTTTTCAATTTTTGATGGCTCCTGTAACCAGGGAGCATCCAACTTTGTATCTTTATAGGCGTCAAATCTCTTCAAAATTTTGCGCACAAGAAATGTTGTTGACCCTCATGTGTGGTATATTCCTTTCCCTTCATTTCCCCTCAACAACATTTTTGGGCGAAGGGCCAAAAACACCCCCGCCCCTCCCTTATACCTATTTACTTTTACTATTCACCCATTCATCCATCGTCAACAACAACAACAAAAACCCTCACAAAAACCAATCAATCAACTACCCTCATATGCCATGCCATCCCTATTTTTCCTCTTCTCCCCTTCAAAAAACTCTTCCACTCTCCCTATTTTATTTGGTCTATATTTGACTTTTTCATCATTTTCCATTCTTTCCCCTTTTTATAATCCCACTTTATATTCCCTATGGGAAAAGAGACGACTTTTTGCTCTGATGTCCCCAAATAGCTCAAAAATCCATAAAATAGTCACAATCGAAAATGAAACTTATTAATTTTGTCTTAATTAAATTTTAAAGTTTTTTTAAATTATTAAGTTTTTATATTGTTTTGTTGATCATTTATTGAAAGGAAAAATCGGAACCGGAACTTTAAAAGCTAAAAATCTTCTAGCTCATTTTAGAAGACTCATTTTAGAAAATCTTTAGCTCCTGGAATTGGTATACTCCATGGATACTACCAAAATTAAAAATAAATTCTTAATCTCGAGAATCGTGAATTTCTTATGGAAATTTAATTCTCGATTTTGAGAATTTGGGAATTCCGAATTCCCTATTTTCGGGAATAGAGTAAGCTTACTTAATATGTATAATCCAGCTCATGTAACGCTAAGACTAACTGACTTTATCTACAATATCGAATCCGACCCTTGTCTATACATAGACACTTTTAGATAAAGTTTTGATCATTTACTAATTACATGGATAGAAGTGTGAGAATGTAACTTCAATTTTTAAAATCTCTGTTCGATCTGCAATTTTCGCTAATATTTTCCTTAAATTAAATACCGTATTTACTCGATTAATTCCCCTGGGGAATTATTTTTTCAACACATCCGTAGCATGGGGATTTATTCAAGCGGGGAATTATTCGAGTAAATACGGTAACTAAATTTTAAAATAAAATTTTTAATAAAATAAATGAAATTTCTAAAATATTTTTATTCTTTCCCAAAAATACTTTTAACAATTTTCATTCTTTTATCCTTTCTCTTTCACAAATAAACCACAAAATCAAATTCTTAAATAAATCACAATTAATACTAATTTCTTTATTCCAATAACATTCCTTTCTCTCAATTATTTTATTAAACCCAAAATATATCCATCCACTAAATCATTAAAAGAAAAATATTTATATACCTCAAAATAATAAAAGTCCACTCAAATCAGTTAAATTCAAGCGGTGATCAATCCTTTTTAAATAAAATAAAAACACATGCCAGCTGACGACAGATTTTTCTTATTACTTTTATTAAATTTTATTTTATATATTTTCCTGATCAAAAATACATTCCTTGCTCTATCTGTTTATTCAGTCCATTATAAAATAAATAAATAAATAAATAAATAAATAGAAATAAATAAATTCATTTCAGAACTTGATTTAAAAAATAAAATACATTTCCAGAAAAGTTTAATTCCAGTTTTATTTATTTTCGGAAATGTTCACCTTATGAAATAAAATACCACGAAGCCAACGTATCGCAGAGCTATAACTTTGTTCAAAATTGTCGAATCCGGGACGCCTTAGTATGGTACAATGCATCTCGATGAGTTGAATCGAACCATATCAGGGGTTCTCGGATTCGACCATTTTGAACAGAGTTACAGCTCTGCGGTACGTTTGCCTCTGCAGTACGTTGGCCTGCTCTCGTATTTTTTCCGGAAAAGAGAAAATACTTTAGTGAATTTCTGTAAATTATAGTATTTTCCTATTCCTGATCAGAGGTGTCGGAATTCCGACGTCCGACGTTTTTTTCCTTCCGACTTCCGATTTCCGAAAAAAATTTTTGATTTCCGAGTTCCGACTTTTGAGCCAGTTCCGATTTCCGGCTCTTTCGATTTCCGACACCTCTGACTGTTCTGACCCACCCCTGTTCCTGATTAGAAACCGGACTTGAGTGATCGATCGATAATATTTGTATCGATATATCGATATTTTTTTCGATATATCGTATCGGTCCGGTCTCTATTCCTGATAATAAATATATATTTCCGGAAAATTAACACACAATAATAGACATGTATTTTAGTTATTTTTATTACTAATAATTGAAGCTATCAATCTTTTTATTTTTCTATTTTCTTTTTATTAAAAATTTAAAATCTCTTCGGCCGATAAGAAAATATTGTCATTATTTGTTGGTGATTCTCTCACCTTTCTTGTATGTTATTCTCGATTACTTTGGAAATTTATTCGATTTTTTTTTGTTATTTTCTTTTTTAATTCTCATTTTTATTTATTAAAAGGTATTTATACATATTCTTAGTTATTATTTTGTTGATATTATCTAATAAAATTAGCACATAGTACATAATAATGTTAATTTTTGTTAGTAATTAACAATTAAGGATAATTATTAATTTTAATAATTATCCGACACAATGTTGGTCAATTTCTATTCATTTTCTTCGTGTAAATACTGAAAGATGGAACCGTTCTAAACCTTAACAGAACTCATTGAAATTTATCAGAATTTACAAGTTAGCCCTGGGATGTGAAACGGTTGGATCTGGAAAGTTGAAGACGAGTTCTTTCTTTCGAAAATGAGAGATGGAAACACTCATTAGTCTTGTTTCTCGCCCAAATACCTCAATCATTTTTCAATTAGCATCTTGAAGATTGAGATTCGTTTAACGGTTTTCGGTTTGTTCGAAACGTTTAGGATTTTCGAAACATGGATTCATTCGGATTGGATCAAGCATATCAAGTTATGGCCGATCGAATTGGAAAAAGAAGAATAAAAGGAAAATACGGAGATATAAACGCATAACACCGTTTTTCGCCCAAATACCTACCTATTACGTTTATCGAGTAAAGATCTTCTGAACTATCAATTTTTAATTTCAGATCCCTTTCTTTCCTCATGTGATTGAAATTTTTGATCAAAAAATTTTTCTTAAAGTTCTATTTTAAATATTTAAAATACATATATCAATCTCAATTAATCCAATCCTTTTTAATAATTGTCTCATTTTTCTCCAATTTCTTTTAAAATTTCTTCTTAAATTTCTTTCCAAAAATTTTAGGTCAAAAAATGAGTAAGCTTTGAACCTTTTTCTTTACAAAACACCTTTAATTCCTTCTGTCCTTGTCCCCTCTCTTCCTTAGGCTCATTTTCCTCCCGACAAGAGCCCCTCTTTCCTCTTCTCTTCCATCAACTACAACAGACCTCACTCTCGCCTCCTCTCTTCTCCAACAAAAAAAATTTCTTTTTACCTCTTTCAACATCGGCAAAATATTTTTATATATTTATTTTTATATATTTTTCTGGCCTTTGGCCTTTCCCTCTTTCCCAACCGGTTCCTTTAACTATTTATGTGTATTTAGATGCATTCTCGATCACCCCCTTCTTCCCTCCCAATTTTTACAACTTTTCTTCCCAACTTTCGAGATTGCTCTTTTTTCTTTTTATTTTTCTTCTTTTAACGTTTTTATGGCCAAAAATATTTGAACAACGCTAATAACATTCTTTTCTTAGTTAAAAAGCATTTATCGCGTTTTTGTGAATCATTTTTTGGCATATAATTTTTTATAAATTATGATTGCCCTTTTTTGATGACTGTCCTTTAATATTAAAGAAATTTTTTAGAAACTTGACATTTCTGGCACCGAATAGGTCTAATATATCTTAAAAGTTTTTATAATTTATATCAAGATCTTCAACCCCCATTACCCGTTCCCTCCGACGTTATTTTTAGGCCATTCACCGACCCCGATACGCGACAGTCTTTTCTTCGACATTCCCGTTCACCGAAAGTTCTATCCGAGGGATCGGGCAATTATTTCCGAAAGGTTGGAGTAACTCATACCTTCTACTGACGAGCTGAGCTTGCCTTCGGGCAGAGGAGGTATGTCGAACCGATTTTGAATAACAAAAAAGCCTAAAAGAGAAATTAGAAGGCTAGGAACCTGTACTAGTCTAGAATAAAAAATTTGCCTAAGCTCTTAATTCACGCCAACCTCGAGAACTAACCAATCTACAAAGGTAGATCTTTCCCGTCTCTCTCTTTATTTTTTATAGTTTAAAGACCATCTTCTTCAACTATTACTTTATTAATAATTTATGAGTATATTTTCTAAAAATGAGGATGTTTCTTATTTCATCTTTTTAGTCTTTAATCTTTAATTTTAGAGCTTTTACCTTTTTATTAATTATTAAAATTAATTCGATCTTTAGATTTTTTGATTTATAATAATTCCTTGGTTTTTAATTTTTTATCTCTATTTTTGAATAAGACTTTCTTAGATAATAACAGGGGACAAGAAAAGTTTAGGACAAACTATTCATGTCATAACTTTATTCAAATTAAAGATATTGAGATCAAGTAAAATTTATATGATAGAGAAATAACTAAGGAACAAATACATATAATCAAGAATTTTCGAGGTTCCCACCCTTGTTTGGATACAGAGTAGAAGTCGCGTGCAGAGGGCACCCTGTAGAAATCTATCATATGATCCATTCTTCTGCCTAGATTTTATAATAATAAATCCAAAATTATTATTATTAAATTTATTTTAAATTTGAAAATTGCGTTTGAGTGATTTTCGAGTGTCGACATCTCCGATTTTTTGTCTTGAGATTATCTTTAATTCTAACCAAAATCTTTATAAATTACAAAAATTTCTACCAAAGATTAAAAAATATAAATATATTTTAATTCTCTACTTTTTTTATCAATTCACTGCTTTTAACCATCAATTTTTGTTTTACAGTTTTTATGTGTTGAGCGATTGCCCCAAATATTTTTTCCAGCCGGAAGAGACCATGTAAAAGAGAAACACACACTTTATTACTCTTTTTCTAAAAATATATTTATTTATCGGCAACAAATATTCTTTGTGTTTTGTGGTTTTTTCACGCACGAGAGCTGCCTAATACACCACACGTCTAAAACTTTTTTTTTAAATTAGCAAACCCCGAATGTATAGTATGGATTGGTGCTTCTAAACAGTCTGAAACCAGCCAGACTATCCATACTTGGCCCTAAATATTTTTAACTAGGTTATAGACCTGCGGCGGAGAGGCTTTCGGCGTAGTTCTAAAAAAAGTAACGCAGTCGTTCTAACAAAAAAATTTTTTGATTTTTTGCAAAAATTTGCTACAATATTTAAATGACAGTTAATTTTTGGGGGAAATTGTTGACACATTCCTCGTTTTTCAATTTAAAAACGAATAGAGAATTTTTTTATAAAATTGTTTTAATTTGCTTTAATTTTTATCTTTCTATTGAGTGAATGACACGTTAGATTTTCTAAAAAATTGTCTAGTCTGATTTTTTATTTCTTTTTTTTATAGGGATAATTTTTAGAAATAATTATTTTTAAATTTAATTTAAATAACTTTTTTCCTCAAATTAGCGATGTTGCCAGAAAAAATGGATTTTTTCGACCCGAAATTGAATCTGAAAATAATTTTTAAAACCCGACCCACCCCTAATTCTTACTTTAATTCCTACTAGTTTTCATTTTAAAATAGGAAATAAATTCAAATTAGTTAGTATTATTTTTTAAATATTTCGTTTTTAAATTAAAAATAATTAATTTAGTAATTTTAAACGAGTATACCGTAATACCTGGATTAATTGCCCTCCGTCAAATAATTACCCCACTTCTATTAATTACCCCATCCAGCGATAGATTTAAACAATTACCCCCGCTTAATTACCCCCACTAATTACCCTCCCCCCTCTTCAAATACCCTAAAACACGTTCAAATTTCAAACCTCGAATAATTACCCTCCCTCGATAAATTACTCCCTTCAGCGGAAGGTCGAAGCAATAGTTACCCAGGGTAGTTAATAAAATAATATTTTTTATTTTGCTTATTTTCCTTTTAAATTAAATTTTATTTAATTTAAACATCTTAAAAAATTATATTCAATTTAATTGATTTCTCTAAATTTCCTCACTAATTTCAAAATTTTTTCCTGTTTAATTAGAGGACTGTCAATTAAATAAATTAATTGAAAATAATTAATTTAATTATATCTATTTTTAACTTTAAAATAAATTTTTCCAAAATACTAGGAGTTTTTCACTCTTTTTCAATAAATTTTTTGCTCTAATTTAATGTTCATTTTTCATTTTTATGCTCCTATACCTCTGCATAAATATATTTTTGCAACATTTAATTATTTTGATTTTTGATGTGTAAATTATTTTTAGTAAATTATTCGTAGGTATTTTTCAATTAAATATTTCAAATAAATACAGCATATTTCCGGGTATATTATCTATATAGAATTTTTCCGGAAAATATATTAATAGAAACTTGGATGTATTTTGAATACATACATCAATCAAATCAATCAAATTTATACGCACCAGCGCGACGATTTCAGACAATAATAACGCGATAAAATAAATAAATGAACGTAAACAAACAATTTCCTTAACATAATTTAAAAATTGTGAAAATGTCTTTTAAGGTGATTTGGGAGTGAGACAATAAATTGGGATATATCAAAATTGACTAGGAGTCGACTAAAATGTTCAGGGGTTGAATTGCGCATCAGGGTTGCCGCCCGAAACCCGAAACCCGATACCCGAAACCCGAAACCCGGCCTTTTTTTGTACCCGAAACCCGATACCCGAATTGAAAATTTTCCAACCCGAAACCCGAAACCCGTACCCGATATTTTTTCCAACCCGAAACCCGTGACCCGAAATTGGTTAAAACCCGAAATTTCTACCCGAAATCTTAGCCTTACCCGATTTTTAAACTTAGAAAAATAGAAAGAAATATGTTTATTTTTTTCCAATCTATTTTATATTGGTGGGTGGTTAATGGTTAATGTGTTAGGCTATACCGCAGTCGTGATGTGGGTTCGATGCCTTGTCAGAAGACGAGGAATTTTTGAATTTTTCTTTCCATAAATGACTTTATTTTATGATTTAATTTTGTTTTTAAAATTATTCTATTTTTACCCTTTAAAATTCTTAAAAAAATTTCCTTTGGCCACTAAAAAGTGAATTTTTTTTGCCTAAGGCCTTCCGAAATTTTCAAAATTTTCGCCTGCGGCGCTGAAAACGGGAGAAAATTGGAGTATTAATGGAAATAAAGCGGAGGCGGAGGGATAGATCAAGGTGGATTTGAAGGCTTCCTAAATTTATTCATTGATATCCTCTCAATACCAATATATCGTTCTTAATCCTAAAATCCCAATCTCTCTTTAATCTCTTTGCCTCTCTCTATATCACACAAAATCCTATTATGCAACATAGCTTGTCGCCTTACAATTTAGATCACCAATACCTGACACCCTAAAATAACCCGAATTTTTCGCCAAACCCGAAACCCGTACCCGAAATTTTTGCCAACCCGAAACCCGATACCCGAAATGAAAATTTTATGACCCGAAACCCGAAACCCGTACCCGATATTTTTGCCAACCCGAAACCCGTGACCCGAAATGAAAACGCTCCAACCCGATACCCGAAACCCGTACCCGAAAATTTTTTGTACCCGCGGCAACCCTGTTGCGCATATGTTGAGGAATAAATTTATATAACCGAGCAGTCCTAACGAAAAAGGAGTGGAATCTGGCTTTTGTGTTACATGCTATAGGTAGAATGTTTTGGAATCCCCTGGTATTAGCTTTATTTATAAAATACGAATTATTGTTTTTGATTGATATAGTCCCACAAACATGTTGATGGAATAAATTTAGATCGGCTTTAATTCGTCTATACAATAGGGATTCTTGTTTAAAATAATTTAGTAAATCAGGATAGTCAGGTAATTTGGTTTTGGGGTTAATACGTCTAAATACCCAACGGAGAAAATCCTTTTGAACTTTTTCAATTGATTTAATATCTTTCTCAAGATGTGGATTAAATACGGGGGAAGAAAATTCTAAAATAGGACGGACATAAATATTGAAAAGATTTGTGAGGATTTTAGGGTTCTTACTTTTGATTGATTTGAAAATGGAATATGAACATCTAATTGCTCTACGAGTGATTATATTGATATGTTTTTCCCATTTGAGGTCGTGGGAGAAATATATGCCCAGATCACGAACTAAATCCTCTGAGGTCTGAGGAATAACAATATTATTAATGAAATATTTGGTTGATGGGTTAAAGTTCCCTAAATATAAAACGGAACATTTTTCTATAGCAATTTTGAGGCCGTTGAGATGACAATATTCTTCGAATTTATTTATGAAAATTTGAAGGGGAAATTCATCTGTTATGTTATTGAAAGTATTATAAGCTTTTAGATCATCAGCGAAAAGTTTGATAGTTATTCCTTTTGTTGAACAATAAGCTGGGAGATCAGATATAAAAGTAATAAATAATAAAGGACCTAAAATGGATCCTTGAGGGACACCGCTAGTGCAGTGTTTTTCCTCGGAGTATTGATTGGATACACGCACAGTAAATGTGCGATTTGTTAAGTAATCATTTATCCAGGAAAGAAGATTCCCTTGAATTCCCACTTTATAAA